TTTGCTTAAGCCAGGCAAACCTAAAGGAATAGAGGTATCTGACAGTGGCCCCAGGATTAGTGTTTTAAACTGTCTCCACCACAATTCTCTCTACTTCTGTACTGGTCTCTGACATCTTTTTCAGGTCAGAGATCAGATTTGGGAAGAAAAAGAAGGCCAGGACAAAGTTATGGATTGCTAACGCTAAAAATGATGTTTCCATTTCATTTATTATTCTATACCCATATTCTTTAAATATCTTTCATGTGCAGTTTTAATATTCAGTAAACAGTTGTATATAAGAAACATTGCACTGTAGTAATTTACTATTCTGTGCATTTCTTGAGCATGCTTGATCAAAGCTTAACTTAGCTGTAAAGGCCCAAAGACTTTAAACTCCTTATAGGAAAAAAATCTCAAAACAAAAATTGGATTTTGCTGTTCATTTCTGTATTATGTTTGTATATGCTCACAAAATCTTTGTCTTACAAACCGTTCTATGATATTTTGGTTAGAAATTAGAAATCTGTTGTCCCAAATAAATGCACAAAGTACATTTTTTTTTTAATTACCAAGATTTTTTTTCCCAGAGCATAACCTAGGGAAGTTCTCGTAATTTCAAATGTAATACATTTTATGTTAAATCGTTGGGAAATGGTATGCAGAATAGGATGGTGTCCCAGAGCAGACAACTTGTTTAGTCATATAAATCCTGATTTTTATTTAAAAAATTCATCAAAGTATATCTACAATTGAATTAGACCAAGTGATTTTGGCATTTCAGAGAAAAGTAGCTGTCCACATAGAGTGGGTAGTGGTTTTTCAGTTACTAAACGATACAGTCAAATCAGGAGCAATGGCCCTGTGTATCAGCCTTTCCTACTTTTAGCATTTTAAAACATGTTGACTAAGTTAACTCGAAGGGAAAATAATTTGCTAAAGAATTAACCGACTTTTTTTTTTCTTTTTTGCTGTATTATGTGTGAAGGGACATAAAGGAGAGGTTGACCAATTTGCTGAGAAGAAACAAGAACTAAGAGCAGGATGGAACCATCTCTTTTCCCTGACTATAGCCACTGCTTTGCTTTTAGTCACAGGGAGGCAGTGGGAGTGGTGAATTAATCTAAGGAAAGATTGATCTATGAGACACATGTTCAGACAAGATTTTTACTGAGTTTTCTTTCACAGCAAAAGGCATTTTTTTATAAACTAGGTATTAGGTAGTCATGTGTAACAGCTGCAATGCTGACCTAGGATCTCATCTGCAATGTTGTTTCTGAACAACATTGTTGTTCCTTCATGAGTAAGATTACTATGGATGATAGATAATAAAAATCAAACACTGCTGTTTTAGGGCCAGTGGTTAATCTCTTGGATCGGGAAACTGTTCAATGGCAATTGGTTAACCTCTTGGGTCAGGAAACTGTTCAAGAAAGCAATACAGCACAGATGAAATACTATTTAACGTTTGTTGAGAAGGAAATCTATTAAAAATTGTTAAATTCTAAACGATTTATCTTTTCCTACTTATAAAAATTATTTACTTTCTGGTGATTTATAATATAAACAGACAACACATATATAATCTATATTATATACAAAGGTGTTTCAAAACTTCATGGAAAGTAATAGATCTGCAACATAACCAGCACCACTTTAGACATGCCCAAGTACAAAATGGCACTGCCCACCTCCTCCCCTTCCCTCCCCACTTCCCTTTAGGAGAAGCCTCCTGACTTAAACAGAAACCCTTTTGCTTCCGCAAGGACACAGTTCTCCACCCCGATCCACATTAGCATAATGACCCTCCTTGATGGTATCAGCCAGCCCTTGGCGCACTATATAAGCTCTACCACCCCCACACCTGGTGCTGTCCCCTTTCCAGGGCAGCCCTGGGCTGCCTGCTACTTTGAGCACAGCTCAGCAGATTTTCTTTCTTTAATAAAGCTTGAACAGTACCCAGCATCTCGGCTCACTTTCTTTCAGAGAGATTCATATTATCTTTTAATTTTTTAATTCTTTTTTTCCACGAAGTTTTTGAAGTACCCTCCTTTATTTATTTATTTATATAGATGTATATGTAGTTCTCTTTATTATAAAAAATTTCTGATGTGTTACAGTTTATAGAGTATATATATATTATTTCTAATATATACTTTCTAGTATGGAAAAAATCTGTTTAATTCTGCTCTTGCATGATATTGGTAGTGTCATAAAAGTATCACACTTGAGAGCACAGGGATTTGAGAATTACTGCTTTTTTAAAATTTTTCAATACTGGCCAGTTGCCCCCCCAAAAAATAAATGAATAAATAAAATTTTCATTCATTTTTAAAGTGTTTCTCCAAGATTATTTCTCCTCTCTTAAGAAAAATTTAATATTTTCCCATATAAACACACATAAAGATGAGAAGCTTAGTGGAAATTAGGCCTAATTATGTTTACTAAGTATGTAACAAGTGATTTTTTGTCATCTCCCTTTTCTCTCGTAGTTTGAAATTCAAACTAAATTAACATTCTCTTTCCTTTAATTGCATACTGCCAGTATACAAAAATGAAAGAAGCACCTTGACATTCTTAGTTTCTTACTTAAATAGTATGTATTGCTGACTCTGATTGCCAATATGGTTTCCTATTATCATGAATCCTTATCTGAAAGCTTGAGTCTAGCCTCAAATGCTAGGACCAACCCTCACCCTTGGGAGCAGGGTTGGGTGAAGGGTGGGAGTGAAGTTTAAATCGTCATAATTAGGTCTGTACCTAAGTGGCTCAACATCAAGTCAAATCTCACATTGACCTTTTGCACAGTTCTAGTAACTGACTTTCAACCATCCTTGTACAACAATTCTGGTAACTAAATTTCTATCCTAATCATTTTTTTCATACCCAATTCTTCATTCTCACAAGTCTCTCATTCTATGCATTAAAAGCTTTTTCCTACACCTGAGCCCCATTATCAGTTGGTAAAATGACCTACCTACAGGTAAGTGCAGTCCTGTTTGAATCTCTTGTGTTTTTTTGCTTCTAGATTTCCCACTGCCCTGCTCCTCCCCTGATATAGCTACCTCTGATTGTCTGCCAGTGATGCAAGCCACTTGCCTTGACTGCCAGCTGCCGTCTGACCCATGCATCTCTCTGTGGACCATGTTCTGCCTGACTGAACATCCTGCCATTACCCCTAGTTTAGGTTTACCCCGGCCCTCAACCTGTCCTGTCACAGTTAACCCTTCTGTGTTTAGCTGGCAGGAGATGTAACATAAATGATTAAAATTTATAAATGTAAAGAAGGCTTATTTTGCATACACCAGAGCATGAGCTTTGGAATAAAAGATTTTGACAATAACTACTATGAAACTGAAATCTCTGCATACAGACTTAGAAAGTCTTTGTGAAATGATAGAGTGTACTGCTTATATGTTCAGCTATCAGAGAGACTAATACATGCCACTCATGTATTAGTAAATCTGTGAATTGAATGCAAACAAATGAAAACAGATATGTGACAGTTCTTGAAATTAATATAGTTACATGGGAAGGAGGAGTCTTAAGAGTATTAGAATATTATTACTTATAAAATTGGAGATAATTCTTTATTCATGATAAACTGAATAATGAAGATTACTGAACACTGAGACAATTTTTACATTCTAGCACAGAGGTTGTCAAACTTCTATAAAAGGACAGATAGTAAATATTTTAGTCTCTGTCACATCCATTCAACTCTGCCATTGTGGCTTGAAAGAAGCCATTGACAAGAAGTAAATAAATGGGTGTGGCTGTGTTCTAATAAAACTTTATTTATGGACATAGAAGTAAGAATTTTATATAATTTTGACATCACAAAATATTATTCTTCCTATGTATTTTCAACCACTTTAAAATATAAAAACCATTCTTAGCTTAAGGGTCATACAAAAATAAGTGGCAGGCAGATTGTAATTTGCCAACCTCTGTTCCAGCTTAATGCATATCTTCCCAAGCTTCCAGTTGACTAGAAATATGTATGTATGTATGTTGTGTGGGGGAGGGTGATGGGGAGAGAGCAAAAAATAGTTTTCCCATATTCAAAAAATACACTCAGCCTTGACTAAAAAATGTCCCTTACATCTTTTAAAATATGCAAAATTTTGCTTGACTATTGACCAGTTTAAGCCCTTTATTAGGGATCTGAAGGATTTTTTTCACACTTTTGGTTTTTATCAAATAACCAAAATGGAATTAGATCTCTAAGTCAGTAGATCTCTAAGCCAGTAGATCTCTAAGTCCAAAAAAAACAAGCAAAGGAAAAACTTGAAAAAGACAAGGAATTCTTGAAAAAAGAAGTAAGGTCCTGGAGAAGCTATTTTCATCATCCAATTCCAGTTGGATTCTCAAATGGTTAAATTTTGGTTATAGGACTACATACCTCCAAGTAAAAACTACCTAACACCAGGGGGTGGTAGAAGTGAAACATTGCTGTCATTTATTTAATGGTCACCTTATAAATAAATACAAGTGCACTGGATCTCCATTGCTAAAAATAACATTTATGGGGCTGGGAAGATTTTTATTATAAGGACAAGTAAATGCAGGGATAGAGTGGAAAAAGGGAGAAGGGCTAGAGATATAGCAAAGAATTCTTTTCTGCAAAACAGATTTTCTCCTACTTATTTACAGGGGATACCTTCAATTACAATTTGACTGATAGGTTCTGGGACCGTTTTTGAAATTACAAACAAAAAAAGAAGTGGGGGGGAGGGCTTACCACAAGACAAATCCAAGTACTGGATTTGATACTTTGTTTTCTCCAGTGCTCCTTCCACTTGTCACTTTCTTCTCTGACCCCTTTCAGATTCATTCCATACCCTTTTAATATTCATTTTATGTTGATCCTTTTGACCTTCCTCACTCATCTCATTAAAGCTCCTGGAAGTCTCCCTTTCTTACTTACTCTTCCCCTGTGTTATCTACTAAAACCCTAGAGAAATGATGTATATTCTGAAACTTCTACGGGTTTCTAAGTGACGCTGAGCATGCTCAGTAGCTAGGGCAGGTTTTGTTCGCCAGCAGATGGCCTGATTCAACCTCTCTAAAAATAGACATTTACCTCTCTGAACTCCTGTTTAAGGATGTAGTTCGTTTTGCTCTTTCACCATTTTCAAGGTTCAAAGGAAAGCGGCGAGGATTCCAAGGTCCCACCGCCCTCACAGCCAATGAGGGGTCTGGGAGGGAGGAGCTTAGTGCATGCAGCTCGAGCTTCTGAAGGAATCATCCCCAGTATGTGCAGTAGAGTCTGAGCTCTGCTGCATCTGTCACAGCAGAACAAAATTTTTTAAACTAAAACAAAACGCAAAAAACAGTAGAGGAGAAACGCTGCAGACGGTGGAATGCTGTAAGACTTTCTAAAATATTTCCTGGGGATTCCTGTGGAGCATGATCTTTTAAAACGAATTCTTTTTGAAGCCGGTTTGTGTAACTGGGAAAATGACACATATGCTAAATGCAGCAGCTGATCGAGTGAAATGGACCAGATCGAGCGCAGCTAAGAGGGCTGCCTGCCTGGTGGCTGCGGCATATGCTCTGAAAACCCTCTATCCCATCATTGGCAAGCGTTTAAAGCAATCTGGCCACTGGAAGAAAAAAGAAACTTACCCGGCTGCAGAGAACAGAGAAATACTGCATTGCACCGAGCCTATTTGTAAAAACCCTCCGCCAGGAGTGAATGCAGATTTTTTCAAACAGCTACTAGAACTTCGGAAAATTCTCTTTCCAAAACTTGTGACCACTGAAACAGGGTGGCTCTGCCTCCACTCGGTGGCTCTGATCTCAAGAACCTTTCTGTCCATCTATGTGGCAGGTCTGGATGGGAAAATCGTGAAAAGCATTGTAGAAAAGAAGCCTCGGACTTTCATCATAAAATTAATCAAGTGGCTTATGATTGCCATCCCTGCCACTTTCGTCAACAGTGCAATAAGGTACCTGGAGTGCAAATTGGCTTTGGCCTTCAGAACTCGCCTAGTAGACCATGCCTATGAAACCTATTTTACAAATCAGACTTATTATAAAGTGATCAATATGGATGGGAGGCTGGCAAACCCTGACCAGTCTCTTACTGAGGATATTATGATGTTCTCCCAATCTGTGGCTCATCTGTATTCCAATCTGACCAAACCTATTTTAGATGTAATCCTGACCTCTTATACACTCATTCAGACTGCTACATCCAGAGGAGCAAGCCCAATTGGACCGACCCTGTTAGCAGGACTTGTAGTGTATGCCACTGCTAAAGTGTTGAAAGCCTGCTCTCCCAAATTTGGTAAATTGGTGGCTGAAGAAGCTCATAGAAAAGGCTATTTGCGGTATGTACACTCCAGAATCATAGCCAATGTGGAAGAAATAGCTTTTTACGGAGGACATAAGGTAAGATAGAAATTAAGGTGATGGGTGAAATGTGAGACTATTCAAGCTGCCGCTGCAGGACTAGATACCATCTGTTGTACTGTTGATGGACTCACTTCTTTAGCGTCTTAGATTCCTCTGACATCTAAACCCGTATTAAAATATATGCTTCATTACCCTTTTTAATCACAAGCTGTTAGAGAATTGTAAAGTGCAAACTTTTCTAAAGTTTCATGACAATAAAATTTTCAGCACTCTAAAATACAGATTACTTAGACTCAGTTACTCAAATATGCTCAGAATTCTCTAAAGCCCTTTCTTAAAACTGAAACTCTAATTGTAGGTGGTCTTACAGCATGAGAAGAAAATATGTATTTAGAAACGAGGAGTAAACACATTTCCTTTGAGATGGAAAATTTGGGATGGTATTCTTTGTTGTTCTTTGTTGTTTAAGAGGGAGGGAAAAACCTGCTTTCATATGGAAGACAATTTTGACAATTTTGCATATCTGAGTAATACGGACAGGCTTTAGTCCTGAGAAGTGCAGGAGAATCTCTCACAAAATGGCATTTCTATTACTTTCAATTCATGTTCAGCACCATATTTTGACACATAAAAAGAGGCATTTAAATGAAATTTTGTTTAGCTTTGAGGTAAAATCTGAGATTAGAAAGGAAATGAGGAGGACAAAAGGAGTTCTAGAATGTTTTTAAGTATTAAAGACTTTCATCATTAAGCTGGTCCCTAAAACAATTAGTCCAACTAAATAACTCAGAGTGTATGAAAGCAACTTCAGAATATTAAATATGACAGAAAATTTGAAAGTGATAATGCATCTAAAATCTTCACACAAATGACTTGGCAAATGAAATAGTAAGGTATTCTAAAGTTGAAGATAGTATTCTAATCATCAAACAGAATTATTTAATTTTTGAAGCATCAGTAATTATCAGAGGTTTTTTTTACAGCAGTACCAACCTGAAGAAGAAAATTTAAAGCAAAATTAGGATTTCTACTCGTACTTGAAAATTGGTCTCATATGTTGTATTAATCATATTGATTTGTCATTCTTCTTGAGTCATTGAACCCAGTGATGTAGATTATAGTGTGCTGTAGGCCTCTTGCATAAAAGACAAAATCTGGTAAATTGAGTCAGTTTAAAGTGGAGCCTAATTTTATACACACACACACACACACACACACACACACACACACATGCACGCACACGCACACACACACATGCACGCACACACACACACAAGGGAACTTCAAAAAGTTAATGTAAAAATAGAATTAAAAGATAATATGAATCTTTCCATGAACTTTTTGAAGCACTCTCGTATATGTTTGTGCATTGTATGTGTATGTGTGTTTGTGATGTGTTCATTTCCAGATATTTTTGGCATAATCAAGGATAAAGCTATTTGTTTTCCAGAATATCATTTAATTTTAGTAACTTATTATAAATATAAATTTTAAACCATGATTATAAATCACTTATTTTATACCTAACATTATATTCACTGAGTAGCATAAATTTTTAAAGAATAACATAGATGTTGGCTGGCTGGTTAGCTCAGTTGGTTAGAACACAACTTTATAACACCAAGGTCATGAGTTCTGATCTCCATTCCAGCCAGCTGCAAAAAAAATAATGTAGATGTGACCAAAACTAAATTTTAATGACTAATTCTAGTATTAATCTGCATTTATTGGTTCTTAAGTCTCATAGGTAGTACCGTACTAAGTAAAACAAAGTAATATGTAGATATCTTTAAAGAAAGTCCTCAAACACCTACAATATTTATTTTTATAGCTCATTCTTATCTTTTTGTTCCCTCTATAGGTAGAAATGAAACAACTCCAGAAAAGTTACAAAGCTTTAGTGGACCAGATGAACCTCATTTTGTCCAAACGTTTGTGGTACATCATGATAGAGCAATTCTTGATGAAGTATGTTTGGAGCAGCAGTGGACTAATTATGGTGGCTATACCTATTATCACTGCAACTGGCTTTGCAGATGGTGGTAATGACATTTATGCTTAATCTCAAATATATGTTTAACATTATTTCTATTGAAGGTGTCATTGCTAGTTGTGTGTGAGTGAAAATGTGTACATAGCCATTATGCTATAGTTACTGATAGTCGGAAACAGTGGCAGACTTTGCATCACCCAGGAATAAAACCAGCAGTATGAAAAAAGGAGACAGTTGATTCAAAAGACCTTTCCAGTTCTGAGATATTTCAGAGATCTCTAATGCAGTGTTTCTGGGAGTTGACCTTGAGCAATTTTAATTATACTGCCTATTATAGAATGATTCCCTACTTTACATTTAGCCTCTAAACAAGTTAATTTATCTTCGGAAAGAGTATAGTACAAGGTCTCCTCATGTTGTAAACTTCAGTTCTGTGCATCCATGGATTTAGTATATAAATATTCTATAACTGAATTTGACCTAATTTGTGTTTTGAAAAGTTGGTTGACTACATCAGGCAACCAGGAATATTGTTTTTGAGAGTGCTTAAATGCCGTAGAGTGAAGTCTCCTTTTCTTGTAAGGAATACAGATAATCCTCTATGTAGCATGATTTGTGTAGGGGAGGAGGTGATCAAGCTGCAGGTGTCTAATTCTGTCCTATCACTGTCTCAACAGTTTGCACCAACAGTTTTTATCCTTTGAAAAACAGAAAGATAAGGGCAGGAAAGACAACGTTAAAATGTTGTATCATCCCTAGATGGGAGTTTGGATCTTAATTGGCAGGAACACAGGGGAATTAATTGAAGAAGAAGCACTTTCTGCTCTTTCCTCTTCTCTCTCTCTCTCTCTCTCTCAATCTCTCTCTCAAATCACGTGGCCAAAATTAGCCTCAGTTTTGAAGGAGCTAAACAAAGCATGGGCTTTGTAGTGAGCTTTGTTCAGCTCTTGGCTCCACCTCTTTCTACCTTTATCCTCTTAGTCATGTTAACTAAACTCTCTAAACCTCAGTTTCCTCATCTGTAAAATGAGAGTCAGAAAGGCTACTTCAGAGGGTTGTTATGAGGATTTAATAGAACATTGTTTATAACGTACATAGCATGTTTTCTCGACATGTTATACCTAGAAAACAAAGACAACACTAAGAATAATGTAACAGAGTTCATACTATTTTAGTTATTTTTGGTGTAGAATTAAGGGTTAATAGCTATTTGTTTGAAGTGATCTAATAAAAACAAGTAAAAAAATTATAGTATGTTTTAATATTATGAAACAGTATGCTTTGATAGTTTGAAACTTCAATGCTTTAACCAATTCTTACAAAACAACTTGTCATATTTGAGTCATTCTTAACCTAAAAATGTCCATTTTACTAAATTAATGTGTGTTAGTCCTTCTTTGTAGCATGTGCTGTACATATATAAATTATGCTCCACAAGTGAACTTTCTAATGAACAGTATATTTAGACCACTGGGAAAGTTGAATTTTATCTGTTTTTATGTTTTCAAAATGTACTAAAAATAAGAATCATTTAAAAAGTTTATATTGAAAAAAACATTGTTAGTAATATTTTTCAGCATAATCCTTTCATAATGAAATAAATTACTTTTCAACAGTATTAGAGGAAAAAGTCACTTAAAAACCTATGGTCTTAAGATTAGTTTTACTGAGAAATGATAAAATTATCAGATACTCATTTTAAAAAGTTAGTCATTAAAATAATAATATTTATTTAAAAGTTTCATATATAATATATATTAGAGACAACCCCAATGACAAAAAATTATAGTGTAATTCTGTCATACTTAGACTCGCTGGTATTAATAGAAAACCCTGGAGTATTCAACACAGAACAGAGAAAATGCAGCTATTAACAGTGACAAATTAACCCCACAGAGACCAGTAAGGAGTAAACAATGTGTGTAAAGAATCTAACAAGCTTACTTAACAAGATGTAATAAGATATTTAAAAATAAACTCTACAAATCCTGAAAATACCATATTAAGTTTAAAAAAACATTAAAGTTTCAGATTGAAATTATAATACATTGATGCAAACAAAATAAAGTATTTCTTAACGCTCCTTTCAAAAGAAAATTTTTATACAGAGAAAAGCAATGTAAGAAACTCATATAAGAAAAAAAGAATTCATATTAAAATTATTTGAGAGTGTGCTTCAAAATATGTAATGTCTAAGATTACTATATACGTTTGTAAGGTCTGTGTGTATGTACAAGGGGTCTTCAAAAAGTTCATAGAAAGATTCATGTTATCTTTTAATTCCATTTTTCCATGAACTTTTTGAAGCACCCTTGTATTTACTGAATATATTTGACCTACAATGACTTGACACTTGAAAATATTAATTTATTTTACTCAGACAAAAGAACTTTTTTTTTTAGATAATGATATATCTTTGAGGTTTTAGGTCTTGGAATTACATACCATATATTCTAACATAATCTTCAGTCATAATTCGTACTTATGCCCTTAGTTGTCCCTTATGTTAGAGATGAATTAAGTGCATCATGCTATATATTTTAAGGCAAAGAGAAAAGGGGGAAAAGTAAGATAGAAGGGAAAAAAAGAGGGTAGAATAAAGAAAGAAGCAGATGACTGCTCAAATCTTTGTTCTGTTATTTAATAGTTATTTGTCCTTGTATTATAGTAATTCATTAATGCAAGTAAACTTTATATGCCTCAGTTCTCCTATCTTAACTATAGGAATAATTATATATATATATATATA